AAAACTTCCTTGGACAGGAGGAAGGATGAAAAGAAAGAAGGAAATAAGATGGGAGGAATGAAGGGAGAGAGAGGGAGGGAGAAGGAGGGAGAGAGAGAGAGAGAGAGAGAGAGAGAGAGAGAGAGAGAGAGAGAGAGAGAGAGAGAGAGAGAGAGATGGGGAGAGGGGGAGGGAGAAAGGGAGTTTGCAAATAACAAGTTATTTGAGCCCTGTAGGCACTTGAGCAGCTACTCATCATGAAGTGCTAATCTATGGTCTCCTCATGCATCATTTCATTCACTTCTGAACCACTGAGGTTAGTCATACAATCTCCTCTATAAAGGTAAACATTCTGAGCACCCAAGGTTTTCTCAAGAATAGTTATGAAGTGAATGAGTCATGCTTATACTAAATGTTAAATGTTATCACAATGTAAAAATCATCCCTGAAAATGAAAAATAAAGTTCCTTATGAACCTCACCATGTGTCAACTATGTAGAGGAATTTCTAAACAGTCGTATTAAATAAGAAACACAGAGCCAAATACAGGGGTGAAAGCCACCAGCCAATCTTATTCATCACGCCACCGTAGCTTTCCCAAAAAGAACCAACCTCTTCCCATCTAACCTGTGTCTTTATTGCCTTGCTGTTCTGCCTTCTCATTGTCTCTTAGCCCATCCACCTCACTTCCTTATCACTGCCTGTCTATATAGATGTATAGATCTCTGTGATTGACAATGGGATTAAAGGCATGTGTCACCATGCTTGGCTGTCACAGAGCCTCTGCCTGCCATGTGATCAGATTGAGGGCGTGTGCTAACACCATCTGACTTTTGTGTGTGAATAACTATGTCCTCTGATCTCCAGGCAAACTTTATTTATTAACATACAAATAAAATATCACGACACAACTGTGTGAAATAAAAAATCTGAATATAGCCATTCTTTACTATCTGTGGCCAAATGTCCATTTGGTGGTGACCAAGATTCTCTGCTTTTCTTCAGCTCATCCTTCTACACCTAAGGAAAAGCAGAAGAGCCTCTTGGTAGTGAAGGAGGAATTTGTGTTCATCATAGTTGCTGCACAAAACAAAACTAAAGGATCCAAAGTTTCTGCTTGACTGCATCTTAAATTATAAAAGGATTTCCTGAGCGAACATGAGTCTGTGAATCTAATTTCTAGTCCCCTCAGGTTTGTAAAATTTCTGGTCCAGTGTTAATCCAACACACCATGTACATACCTTTTTACTTAATTGTGTATTATAGTTCTTCTATGTCCATCTAAAATAATGTTGCATTTTTATTTAATTTGGGGAGGATTTTGTTAGATAAACGTTTTTGTATGCCATCATGGTAATAAATAGTACACAATTTTATAATAGATGGAATGCACTACCTGTGCAGAATTTAGAGAAAATGCGTTCTGTCATGAGGGATCTATCAATGAATATATAAACAATATGCATTGTTTTGGGAAACACTATCAAGGTCTGTTCGCTAAAGAAAAACATTTTATGTATAAATATATGTGATATGTATGTTGATAAGAGTATCATTTACCTCATCGAAGACTGTTTTATCTTACACATAATTTTGAAAATTTTATGCATGTATACAGTATATTATAATCATAGAGTGTAGCTGGAGTTTTCTCCAGTCCTGTTCAGCCCCATGATCCCACAACCACTTATACAATAAACACTCATAAATTTTCTGTTATTTTTGAGAACTGTCTCTTTATTTAGACCAGGCTTGCCTTGAACTTGCAGCAATGTTCACAAAAAAAAGCGTATCAGGTAGTGGATTTAAGGTATGAGACCCTAATTCTAGTTTTCATCAGACTTAAAAATTCTAAAAATGTAGATTCTAGAAATCAGAGGATATTCATTCCTTTTGTAACATCTGTAAGATGATTTGAAAGCATATTTAATATAAGAGGACTGAGCATTGAGTCCATTCTTGATAAAGAAAAGAAAAACTTGATGTTGCACATTAGGCCCATTCAGAAAGGGAAAATACCAAACAGTTTGGTGCATTATATTTTAAACATTGATTCATACAAATTCTGTATTAATTCAAATACTACAGGACATGATAATTTTAAATTATTCTTGAAATTTAGGGATAATGTTACCAAGAAGAAGCACAATTTGAGTATACACAGATTCAAGATATAAAAGATATATTCTTGCCGGGCGTTGGTGGCACACGCCTTTAATCCCAGCACTCGGGAGGCAGAGCCAGGCGGATCTCTGTGAGTTCGAGGCCAGCCTGGGCTACCAAGTGAGCTCCAGGAAAGGCGCAAAGCTACACAGAGAAACCCTGTCTCGAAAAAACCAAAAAAAAAAAAAAAAGATATATTTCACATTTGTGTTCTAAAACAGAAGAATAATTTTATATGAATTATAATCTATATCTGCTTATATTTCCTAATTAATGTGAATCATCAGACACTAACAATTTCTGTATACCTGACTCACTATGCGCAGGAATGCATGGGAAATTGGATTCTGTAGGCTCAGGCCTACCTGGAAGTGCTAGGGAGTTAGATGACTTAGGAGTAGGCTGCTTATGGGAGTTCTGAAAGGAGCTTATAAATATTGAAGCACTATGAGGACATCCAGGAAAAGCCACGAGGCCTATGGAATGAGGAAGAGCTATGCTTTCTCAGTGGTTCACAGAATAAAGGGTATAGAACATAAATGGAGACAGCAGTGTAAATCTGATACTCAAGGGAACAAGTTCCTAGAGAATTGGGTTTATGGGGTGGAAAAAGTGGGCCTAGTTGATGGTGTGGGATAAAGTGTCTTAAGTAATCTAGAAGCATCAACTCTTGTAGATGATTTTCTAAACAGTATTATTAAATAAAAAACACAGAGCCACATACAGAGGTAATAGCCAAAGAGATCAGAGCAACTAGGGAAGAGCCAGACTACCTGCAGTCTTCCCCAGAGAGAGCTTCTTCTTGTCTGACTTGTGTTTTGATTGCCTTTTTGTTCTGCCTTCTCATTGGCTCTAAGCCCAGCCACATGACTTCCTCATCACTGCCTGTCTATACAGACCTCCAGGTCTCTATGTTTGGTACTGGGATTAAAGGCTCATGTCACCACTTTTGGCTGTGTCCTTGACCACACATAGACTCTGTCTGCCATGTGATCGGATTTAAGGGTGTGTGCAACCACCGCCCAAAATTCTGCTTATGGCTTGCTAGATAACCTCACTATGTGACCTCTGATCCCCAGGCAAACTTTATTTATTAACATACAAATAAAATCACATTTTAGCATAATTAAAATGTCACCACAGACTCTTAAGTTAGTGTTGCCATTAAAAGTGTTGTCTAAGATTTGCCTTAGTTGTACTGGAATCAGAAATTCACATCAAGATGGAAAGGCACATCAAGATCCAAACTCAGGTCCTCATGAACACGCACCAACTTCTGGAACAAACTGAGCCATAGTCCTATCCCTATAAATTAAATGATTTAATGTTTACCAGGAAAATTAAACACTCTCCTCCACATTTTCCCAAAGGCATTCTTCATTTCTTTATTCCTGAAAGTGTAAACTATGGGATTCACCAATGGTGTCAAGACATGAGAAAATATAAAAACATTTTTCTCCAATAATAATGGAGAAGTATTTCGTGCATATATTAATATGCATGGGACAAAGAACAAAAGCACAACAGTAATGTGGGATCCACAGGTGGAGAGAGCTTTACGCCGCCCTTCAGAGCTGTGAGATCTCAGAGAGAACAAGATGACACCATAAGAAACAACCAATAAAGAAAAAATGATGATGCAGATAGACCCACTGTTGGCAAACACTAAAATGACAAAAATATGTGTTTCAGTGCAGGCAAGCTTTAGTAATGGAAACAAGTCACATATGAAATGATCAATAAAATTGGGTCCACAAAAGGGCAGCTGCAATGTGAAGATAATTTGTATGATAGAATGCAAGAAGCCTCCTGCCCAGGCTACTCCCACCAGAATGCCACACACCCTCCTGTTCATGATGGAAGAATAGTGAAGGGGCTTACAAATGGCCACGTAGCGGTCATAGGCCATGGATGCCAGGACAATCACTTCTGCCCCAGCAAAGAAGTGGACACCAAATAGCTGTATCATGCAACATTCAAAGGAGATGCTCTTCCTCTCAAAGAAGAAGTCTACAACCATCTTGGGTGTCGTTACAGAAGAAATGCATGCATCCAAGAAAGATAGAAAAGACAAAAAGTAGTACATGGGGATACCAAAGAGTGTGGGACTGCAAACAATTGTTACCATAATTATCATGTTGCCCCCAAGAGTAAAAAGGTAGACAAACAAAAAGAAAACAAACAATATTTTCTCAACTTTTGGGTCCTGTGAAAGTCCCAGAAGTATGAACTCAGTGACAAAGCTTTGGTTTAGCATGATTCTTGAGAAAAAGACAAAATAAATGAATTCACATAAACCTGCAAATATGAGAAAGAATTTCTTCATGTATTTTAATATTATCAACAACAAATAAAATAATGCAAAAATGCTCAGTACTCAACTTTCTTGTCAACGGTATGTGGCAGTAGATAGTATAACTATTTTTTGTGCAAATGTTAATAAAGATATTAAGATCAAATGAACAAAACTATCATTAAACTGGTGACTTTGGAGACACAGGTCCCAGCACACATGACTACTTAATAGACTGAACAGAATGATGATTTAGATATTTTATCTCAGTGAGAACTTCAGAGTAATGATTGATTTTCTAAAGTCTATTTCTCTATATGATCATTCAAGTATCTATTATTTTCTTTATTCATGCATGAGGAATCTTGATAAGACAAGCAGGTAGATGATCAAGGAATAGAAGCCAATGGATCAATGACCTACAAATGAAAATTGGTGAAAATCACATTGGTGGAAAAGAGAAACTTCATGTTGAATATAATGTCTGGTCTTGAAACTCAATTACTTACCAATTATTTATACAATAAAAATTTGATAGAGTAAGACATATGGCTTGAAATTCATATGAATTTTCTGTAAAACATGTTGATTAAAAAACTTACCTTCATATCACCAAAGATCAAGAGGAGGATCAAATTGAAAATGTCTAAATAAGACTCACATTTACATGCCATTAATTCTTCCACTTGAAAACTCTTTCAATAGAAAACTCTTTAATAAAACATATATATAAATATTCTAGCTCTTGAATTAATTTTTCCTAGGTAGATGCAGCTTTAAAATGTTATAGATTTCTCTTTTCTATATGTACAACAGAAATGTATTCATAAAATATTTTTCTGTGTTTTTATAAATACATATATGTATATATGTGTATATATATATGTGTAACTTCATATATGTACATATATATGCATATAGCAAAAAGTGAGTAACAGAATAGTGTGTCTATATGGAAAAGCAAAATGATGATTGATATTCATGACTATCATGTAGTGGTAACAAACAAATTTTACATGTAAGTAAATCTATCCTCTGAAGTTGATTACAGTTGACAATGTATTGTTCCTGAGGAGGGAAAATCACTCTATTGAGGATAGGGCCACTAGGAGGTTTCCTATGTTCCACTGAAAGGCACCATACCTATAGGAGCAGCATTAATGGATTTAGTGGGTTCAGCTACAATGACAAAAATAAAATAGAGAGGAGGTCTTTGCTGTTGATATATTGATACATTTCATTGTATACAGTAAGAAAATCTCATCTATAAAGCAAATATTAATGAATATAAAACAGACAAATTAAAATATTATGTAGATAGAAAAATTGTTCACTTTCTGTTGTCAAATATTCTGAAAACAGCTTTATGTGTAAGAGTCACTTACCATGAGATGAACTGTCAGACATCAAGGTTTCAGGTCCACAGAAGACAAACACATGGCTCTTTATCATAAAGGGGGTGTTGAGAAAGCTTGATGTAGCTCAAGTTGGCTTCAAAGTACCATTTACACTAGGATGACCTTAATCTCCTGATCATCACTCCTCCACTTCCAAGTGCTAGGATTACAAGATGTGCCACCACAACCTGCCACATCAATAGTTTTATCGAGGTATTATGCACACTGTAAGTCAACAAGAGCATGTGAGTATTAATGACAGCATTATTTCTAACAATGGCCACATGCATATGTTGATGTGAAAACTGAAGCACTCAACAAATAAAGGAATGTCACTGTGCATGTGCATGTGTGTTTAGAAAAAAAAAAGACATAAAATTGAGGAGTAGGGAATTGGGAAGGTATTGGGAAAATTTGGGGTAGAAGGAAACATGCAATATATTTATGAAAAAATATTTATAAGTCTCAATTTAAAAGTTATACCAATTAGAAGAAATTTATTCAGGCAGTGTTTTGTTGAAAATATAAGAAATAACTTCAAATTATAACCATGTTTTTATTCTTTATACTACTATACACACTCTTAAAATTTATACTAAGAATTAAGTTAGAGTATTTTTCATTAGGATATGACACAATGTCAAAATATTTTCTATTAGTTTATAAAGTTAACATTTAGTGATTATAAATTTTCCTTCCTTGTTATTAAAATCAATACAGATATCTAAAATAAAGAAACACTGAACACAGAAATACCTAAAATATCCATAATAGGATGATATATACACTTGATCTTAGCCAAAAGGCTGAGAAGCGATGGGAATGATATATAAATATGACTTACAAAATAAAATCATATGGTACATAAATGAAACACTTATACTATGAAGATCTCAACTACTGAGCATTTTCATAGTACATTAGTTTAAAGAAAATTAAGTCTCCATTTATTGATTTTATAGAATACAAGTGTGGATATTTTAATATAAATTTTGTTACTGTTTTCAAAATATTTTATAATATACATCAATATTTAAACTACAAAATCAATTTTCATTTAAAGTTCTGAAAAGAATGATGTATTGTCAGGTCATTTTTTATACTATCAAAAATGGAATTCATGTAGTAACAGAGCACAGCATCATATATAATAATATGTTTAAACTATTATACTCTTTCCATAAATGGTCAAACTGCTGAGTTAATGCCCTCTCACCTCTAGAAGCTCTTAGATTTCAAGTCTACACTTTCATTTAAGGGTTTACATAATTGGTTTAATGGTTTACATAAATGGCTGATCTTCTTGTCCCCAACAGTCATGAATTTGAATATTAAAGAGTGGTCTCCAGTCTTGCTCAGGGACCTCTCACTGTAGAAACTGGTAACCGAGTCATTTCCTTGAATGGTGATCATGGGGCATGTTCCTCCCTATGCCAACTGGCTATATTGACTACTATTTCCTTCACACTGACTGTAGCAAAAAAAAAAAAAAAAAAAAAAAAAAAAGCTAATTGTAGCATCAATCTATCTGCAGATACCAGAATATTTTTGTTAATGCAAAATATGCATATACTTAAAACTATCAGAGGAAATAAAAAGAAAGTTTGTCACTCTATGTAGCTGATTTGAAATATATTTAAAACAAGTAAAATATTGTTATCAACAATAATAATTTGAAGTTGAAATGTTATTTTAAATTACTATTTATGTTAAATTCCACGAATCAATCTTATTTTAATATAAAATTATCTACAAATAAAAATTGATTTTGTGTGTGTAGCTAAGCAAATGTCTATGGCTGTCAGGACAAAGAGTACATTTCAGATTCCTAATCCTTTTTCTCTGTCCTCAGTGTTGCTCTGCTGATTTTCTTCAACGGCTCAACTCACTGTTGTTACAATTTCTGTAATATGAGGGAGATCTTTCTTCCCATTTCCTTCCTAATAGATTTTTGAAACTTCTCTCTTCTTTTTTTTTTTAATTTATTTATTATGTATACAGAGGAGGGCTCCAGATCTCATTACAGATGGTTGTGAGCCACCATGTGGGTCCTGGGAATTGAACTCAGGACCTCTGGAAGAGCAGTCGTTGCTCTTAACCACTGAGCCATCTCTCCAGCCCTGAAACTTCTCTTTTGATAGCTAGGTGATTCATCACATTTTAAAAGATGAGCCAGGCCATGACTACTGCCATTCAAGCAGTTCAGTGCCTTAACCACATAATTTCCTAAACAGACCAGAGGTAGAATCCTAATACTGAGAGACACTTTAGAGGACGAGATAAACTTAAATCAGACAACTTCAGTTCATGAGGTTAATTATTCTGACCATAATGTCCTTTCCTGTGCCCCGTGTTACTATGTAGTTGTGCAAATAGAACATTTTATGTTGATTTTCACGGATCTGACCTACTCTGGTGATGGGATGGACAAACACCATAATAGTCGTGCCAGAAACGCTATCCAAGGACTGAGGAATCTGGATGCAGAGATCCATGGCTAGGCCCTGGATGAAGCTCCTGGAGTCCAATTGGCAAGAAAGAGGAGGGTTTATATGAGCGAGAATTTTTGAGACCAAAGTTGCATAAAGCACAGGGACAAACAGCCAAACGAATGGAAATACATGAACTATAAACCAAAGGCTGAGGGGCCCCCAACTGGATCAGGCCCTCTGAATAGTTGAGACAATTGATTGCCTTGATCGGTTTGCGAGGCATCTAGGTAGTGGTACCGTGTCCTGTGCTCATTGCATGAGTTGGCTGTTTGAAACCTGGGGCTTATGCAGGGACACTAGGCTCAGTCTAGGAGGAGGTGACTGAACCTTCCTGGACTGAGTCTTTCAGGTTAACCTCAGTCCTCGGGGGAGGCTTTGCCCTAGAGAAGGTGGGAATGGAGGTTGGTCTGGGGGGAATGGGAGGGAGGCAGGAGGGGGGAGAACAAGGGAATCCGTGGCTGATATGTAGAACTGAATGGTATTATAAAATAAAATAAAAGGAAAAAAAAAAGAAAGGAGAGATGAGAATACAGATTCATTCCTAGTTGAATAGCTACTGGAAACTAATAGCTTCTTGGAAAGGAATGGTCAGTTTTCTTTAATGGTGTAGTTCCTGCTAAACTGACTATGCTCCAGTGAGAGTCCACTCATTCAAGATTATATGGGCAACTCAAATTGGACTAGATAGGTTTAATAAATAAAACAAAGAGAAAACAAGGTTGAGTGAGTAGGAAAGGAGATATGTATCTGAGAAGGGTTAAGAAATGGGAGTGAATAAGATAAAAATAAGTCTTAAGGTTTTAAACATAAAACAAATATTGTATGCATGACATACATAGAAACTACGTGGTATTGGGGTTTTTTTTTCTTTTTTTTTTAAGAAAACAAAGAATAAGTGAGATCTAAATAATCCATTGTTGTCTTTGAAGAGTTAATGAAATAGTACACAATGAATACAAGAAGCTAATGGTACTAGAAAATGTAACAAAAATGATCTCCCTTAATACCTCCATGAAACATCAATTCTGCTGACCTAGTTGATTGCCTCTAAGGAACACTCGTTTCAGACTTGTGACCTAAGGAGCACTGAGGTAAAAAATGTGTGTTCTCTTAAAGGGCTATATAATAATCTAAAGTCAAAAGAAAAATAAGTAAAGTATTAAATAAAGCACAATCTCTAATGTTTAAAAAAAAGAAAATTGGCAACATTTTATTGGACACTGTACAGAAACATGCTGTCTCCTAGATTATTTTGTTTCAATTTGAAGATGACAAGTTGAAAATTATTTTCATTTCAATAAATTGGGGAAACATATAAGAAGGGAGAGAATAAACAGCCTATGAAGGAAGAAAGCAAGAAGGAAAGGGAGGAACAGAGGGCTGAGGGAAAGAAGGAAAGAAGGAG